TCTACAAGCTGAGCCTGTGTGGTGTTGCTGGCGCACTGTACCAGTGAATCAGTGACTTCCTTATTGGGAGATGGCGGGTTCAGGTGGATGACCACCTAACGGAATGGTACCCGTCCAATAGCAGCGTACCCCAAGGCACAGTACTGGGACCCATTTTATTTCTGATTCACATCAGCGAAGTACCTCATCTTCTTCGATCGCGCTGCGCATTATTTGCGGATGACCTGATGATTTGGAGGATTATTGATTCTCCTGACGACTGGGACGTCCTTCAGCAGGACTTCGACCGCCTATCCCGGTGATCTGAAGAAGGTGACCTACCGGTCAACACGGCCAACTCCTCGTTTATGAGCCCGGGGAGGGGTAGTAATAGGCATGCGTACACCCTGGTCAGCCACCCGCTGCATCCCACCAGTTTTGTGGAAGGTCTAGGCGTGCTCTCATGCTCTGATCTGAAGTCTGTCGAAAACACGAACAAACTACGCAAACGGATTACGCTTGCTTCGGGTACTTAGACGCAGCTTCTGCACTTGATCTGAAGAGATTGCCACCCGTTTGTTTTCTTCCAAAATAAGACCGGTGCTTGAGTACGGCTCATCCGCCTATTGCCCGGTCACAATAGGTGGGATGCAAAGATTGGAAAGGGGTCTCGCATGTAGCTACTCGGCTCCTCCTTAGTTTACGGGGTATGTCCTACGAGGACCGATGTAGGAGAATAGGGCTTTATACCCTGTCATATCGTCGGCTTCGAGTTGATCACATTATGACACACCGGATGCTGCACCTGTTCCACTTCCCCATGTTGAAGCCGCTGCTGCACATTCGCGCACCAAACAGCACACTGGTACAAACCAGTGGTACCGGATTGAAAGCACCTCTCTTATCCCCTGTGGTTCGAGCGTCCAGTGATGCAATATTGGAACAAATTGCCGGAGACGCTAGTCGAGGCGAAATCGGTGTCTGTCTTCAAGAGATTTTTGGATGCCCACTTCGCGGACTACGGGTATAGAGAGCGTCTCGCACCCGTATAAAATGTAGTGCAGCTGCAATGTACTGCCACCACGCGTGAACCATCGACGTGGTTCCGCTCATGTTCCCGATTCACCTACGATGGAGCAACACAGAGTTTTCTCTTTTTGCTCTCTATTCTCAATATTCAGTATTCGGTACGCGCTTACCCAGCCTGGATGCCAGCGTACTTTGATACGCATTCCGAACACCTGACTTTGCCAGTTGGTTGGTGTCTATGCACGCCCATCGACGTGGCGGACGTCCGCCGAAACACAGTCACAAGAACTTGATTGGAGTCCACTCTCATGCTCCAAATCAAGCGACTCTTTTGGACGCAGCCTCTCCAGCGGTAACTGATCGCGATGGGTTCGGTTTGTGTTCATGGCTAGTCGGTTGCTGGTGGGCCCCGAGTCACTCTTCTGCGGGTGCTGTGTCGAAAGCTAGTGGTCGCGAGGAAGAGACGAGCATCTTCACACATATGTTAGCAACCGCTCACCGTTATCATTATGGGAGTCTACACCATGTTGACCACCCAGATGAACCTCATCAGAGGACAGTTTCCCCACAGGCGTTTAGATCACCAAGAAGCACCGCCGTATCCTTACTTTTTCTAACGAAGAAGATCTTTAAGTGTTAGTGATAGAAATCATCTTTCACCGAATCAATGCTGCAGTTTGTGGGGCATAGGTCACAATGACAAACACGCACCGTTTGTCTACGCGTGACTTCGAAGCTCTGAACAAGCCAACCAATCGAACGGCGCCCATACGGCTATTGACTAGGATCCAACCGATCAGGTAAACCTCAGCCTGGGGACTCAAAGCTATGCCGACGCCAGCTTGACCGGCACTTGAAGCTGCGTCATCTCCAGAATGGCGCAATGAGAATGTATCGCCAATGTTGCATGTGGGGGATCACAGGTAAGCACATAGTTCGGATCTTGCAGGCGAGTTTCTGATAAACGGCAAATATCGATCGCGATGATCACTAGTGTTCGAACAAATGTCTGTTTTCCAACTTGTAACAAAGTGTGCCCTTTGATACATGCCAGTCTTAGCGAGGATCGATGACTCCAAAGAGAACCGGGTGTACTGACGTTGTCCAATTGGTTGAACATAGGCTTGTCGACTGGCCTGGAGCGACGCCTTGCGATTGTGTGTGAGTTAAAACTAAGGGACAATCCACTGTGGAAGCAAGATAGAGGATTGAGAACAAGGGGGATAAAAGTGAAGTTGGATCAGGACGATATGGATGAAAAAGCGCAAGGGATAGAATAAGAAGACGGGAAGGCCTGAGCATTAACATCCTTCCCTCTATATACCCTGCTCGATGCAGCAGATAGGGTGATGTTGATTATCCACTGCGACGGCCAGAGCATCAAGAGATTGTTATAAGAAAAAGTCATAGTGTTGTATTGCTTAAGCAGGATACTGTCAGGTTGCCCAGACTTAGACAGGGGAATGATTAGGGTTCTCAAACAAAACCTTTGGTTCAAAAGCCTGACGGCAACACATCAAGATTTTGGCACTGGGCTACACAGGGTCCGTTTTATTGACTAAGTAGCCACCCCTAGTCCAATCCCCAACCTTGAGTGCCAGAGGACTGAGTTAGTCTGGCCTCTAACCATTAATCAATCTGGTATAATTGGCTCTGAAAGTGCAAAAATCTCCACTCAGCATTGCTCAATGAATCACTGAGGCACACAAACCATCGCACCACGTTGAAGTCCAGTTTTTTCACGGTGGACCTTTGGCTATACGGCTGGTAATCTCATCGTTCATTCCACAGCCGCTGATATAACTGCTTACATATCTGAATTTATGGACGACCTCAGGCTGATCACCACTAAGGGTCAACGGAGGGGTGTGTCTCTGCCAATCTTGGAATAATATCTTGCACTTCGATGGTGCAGAGCATAGCCCGAAACGATTGACAGCCAGTGCTGCTTGGCACGTTGGGGAGTTATCACAGCTTGGGACAATGTCCTGGACGTACTCAAAGCTAGAAGTCGATTATCTGGAAGCAACTCCACACCTAAATCGAATCCGGTGGACGCATTTTCCATAACTGCATCGATTACGAAGTTGAAGAGAAAAGGTGAGGACCAGCAACCTTGTCTCATGCCGCTGGAGATAGCGGAAGGCAGCAACAGCTTGCTATAAACCCCCACTTTGTCCAGACTACGCGCGCTAGGCCTTCTTATGGTATCTACATATATATCGGGTACACCTTTCCTGAGCAGGCAGTCTCAGAGCGCATTCCAAATGTAAACCTTCCTTGAAAGTTAGGACTATAACGGAGCGGCTTCAGTCCGCTGGGACAGTCCTACTCTCAACGCTTCACTAGTAAAATGTGCAAATCACCCACCCGAATTTGAAGGGAGTTAGGGAACTCTATCTTCTCCTGCGGCCTTATTCAATTTCAACAGTTTCATCTCACGTTTGACTTATTTGCGTGAAGACGGATCCAAAGGGACGGTCCAGGAAGAACGGTGATCACTGTCCCATACAGAACGTGTTAACACTTGCTGATTAAGCTGCTTTTCAAAGTGTTCTTCTTAACGCTACAAGCTTTTTGACAGGCTGGGGATTGGCTGTCCAATATCGTCGCACATAGTTCCGCTAACACTAGGTCTCCGACTGTTCGTTTCTCGTATCAGACAGAATAACTTCCGATGCTTACCGATGCACGGAGACCACCATGTTTTGCGATCTCTCTTCACTCTAGCACTCAGTTTCGCTCTTAGACCGTTGCGAGTCTCCTATTGCGTTCTAGCCAGAATATGTCGGCAATCATCAAAGATTTCCAGAGACTGTGTAAAACCCGGTGTCCAGAGTGGCAGTTCGATATGCCACATGAGAACATGCCTACTGCTAATAACGTGTGCCGGATATGCGACCAGCGTAGTTCAATACACACTCAAAACATTTGGTTTCAGCAGTTGCTTGGTGTCTGTGCTCTCACTACGTCGTCGTGGGCGTCTGACGAATCGAATCCGCGGATCATTACATATAATCGCATGGTTGGAGTTCACGCTCGCGCTCTAGATCGAGTGGTAGTTTTGAACGCAGCCCTAGTATTTTTCTCAATGTGCTCTATTACATGCTTTATCTCTGTGCTTAGAACTGGAGACCCGACTTTCCGCGTTCCAAGGCACCATATAGGTGGCCTCCGGAACCCTTGATGTACCACTCCGTCTCACAAAATTTTGAACAGGGTTTAATGGCATAGAGATCCACACAAAACGTAACCCATTGTGGTAGGACTTAATTTGAGAGCTTTGATTCCTTCATAGCCTAGCTTTCATGGTCTTCGCCTTCCTTCTAACCGTACGTCTTGTTATATTGATGCCTTACTTCTTTGGCTTCTGGACACCTCAAGATTTCGGATGAGCAACACTGTTTCAGGTGTGGCCTCACTGGCCTAACACTTACATTACTTCAACCTTAGTTGCTGTTCAGATGAGATTGCATGGCGCTCCAGATGTTCCCTAGGTGATCTCGATATTTGTGTAGAGCCGTAAGAAGACGAACACTGGCAGATGTCAACATTTCGTATTGCCTCTTCAGTGCCAACACAATAACATGAAAGTATATAAGACGACAGGTAGGGTGAGACCGGAACAAGTTAGAACAGGGTAGGGGGCAGGCGTGACACCCCTACGCCCAGGGCAGCCGTAGGCTTACGAACAACTGTTTCTGCACACAGAGTGCGGGTTTGATACGGCTGATCGCGACTGCCTCTGCGAAACGTAGGAAACGGGCGTTAGCATGTCTTAACACGACTGTAAACATTTTGGCCGGATCAAACTGATGATGATATTGTTTGGCCTCAATTGTTACTTCCCGGGTGTAGTCCAGCTGACCACACAAACACTCAGGCAATTGCACCACATATAATACTCTGCGCAGCCTGTCGTATCGTTTGTTGCCTGCGAATTTTTACCCTTCACTTACTGCACTGATTGACTTCCTTCTTCGCTTTCACAGACTCCAACTGGTGCAGTAGAAGCCAAAGTTGCATGCTACTACAGGCGTCGGGATATATCCATAACTTTAATCAATCAAGCTGAGAGATACTGTAAGTCTCTACGTTATTTATATTCCACCATTGCTACTGTTTCTCATGTATTAACGTCTTTTATACTCCTCAACCATCGCGATAGGATTGGACCCTAGCATTATACGATGGTTTTCGTACCCTTGCGATATACTGAAGTGTGATGGATGATGCTTATTGCACGTTACTAGCCACTCATATAAGGTTGGTCAAAGGTTACGGACCAGACCAACTAAGTCTCCTGGTACTGCACGTCGGAGTTGTGGGGGGGGGGGGAAGAATGGCTCCTGTTTGTGAGACAATATCTTTGAAGGATAGGTAGTCGCACCATTCTTACCACATTTCCTCCCCGTGGCGGAATAGGAAAACAGGATTTGAGTTAAAGAACAAAAGGAATCAAACTAGTTTTGGTCCATTTTATGCTTTTTTATTGGGGAGAGGAATCATCACAACAAGCAGAGATATACGACCACCACTGAGTTCGGTTTTGAGCCGTGACTTCCAATGTTTCCAACTAGCGGCACTCAGCATCTTTGGGACTCCATCCAGAATGTCGAGAAGAACCAACCGAGGCCAGCTGCTTTGTTTGCTTTTTCAGCCTGCTTTTTCAAGTTTTGTAGGCTATCCACCACGCCGCCTCCTCCAGCCCTGTTCAGCAACCGCGAACAAGGCACGACGCAGAAGACGCTGAACGGGCATACGCAGTACGTGTCCAAGCCATCGTATTTGGCACAGCGAGACAAGCGCCTCGCGGGAGTGGCTGCCTCCACCCAGGACACGCTGTCCGACTTTATCGTTGGTTATGTGGTGCAGCCTCCACACACGGGCGATGCACCGCAAGTAACGGTTCCCGAATACAAGCAGCACAGGTCATCGGTACGAGCAGGCCAACTCTCACAACCGTATGACTGTACAGTGCGGACGGTCGCGCTACAAACCCACCCTTTGATGGAGAGACGGATGTCATGACGGCGGCATAAATGCCTCAGCCTGGAGAAGGTGAGACGAGCTCTTGAGATGGACATCGACATGTCGTCTCCAACAGGCTTACCAGCAGTGGTGCGACTTTCCTGGTAGACAAAACTCTGTACAACTTCTTGCATCTTACAACCTATCGTGAATGCAGGTAGGGGCGTCTGCCAGTCTTGAGAAAGCGCTTTTCACGTGAATGGTAAAAAGTGCATGCTGATCTTTGACACTTCAATCACCAGGCGCTTAAGTGCAAGTTGGACGGCCTGCGCATCGTCATTCAACAAGACGATACCATCAGCGTAATCCATATCAACCACCTGACTACCTCGAGGAGCTCAACGCTAGCGTTCAGCAAGTCTTCTACTGCACTTTTGAGAACATCCTCAATGGCAAATTTGAAGAGGAATGGAGAGATAGGGCATCCTTGTCGAACCCCACTGGTGACAACATAGGAAGGCGAAAGATTGCCATAAGTCCTAACTATCCGAGGTCAGACTATACAGAACACGCAGTACGGAAACGAACTTCCCGGGAATGTCATTCCTTAACAGACAGTGCCACAATGCAGCCCTGCCGACAGTATCGACCGTAGCACGGATATCCAGGAACACAACAATCGTTGTTTTTTGATACACATGCCGGAGTTGGAAAATCTGATCAATGCAGCTGCGACCAGAGCAAAACCCAGCCTGTTCTTCTCGCTGTAGTGATTCACGCGTTCGGGATAGCCTGCGAAGAATGATGGACACCAGAATATTACAAATGACGGGAACCAAGCTTATGTGCTTTTAATTGGTGCAATTTTGCGCCGGGTGCCTCATAACGCTACAACTTTATGAGGCACCTGTCCCTGATGGTGTCTCTCTATCAGCAACAAGGAGGCAGTGGTGATCCAGCTTTTTGGCAGATGGCAAGCAACTCCGCAATTGACAGTACTGGCAGAAATTAAGGCGTCTTTTATGCGCATTCATTGCGAATTCAGACCATCGTCAGAGGATGGAGCAAGCAGTGTTGACAGAGCAACCTGGTACTTGGCTAACGTCGCAGAATGTTACAGATTTTCGACGTTTGGTCGGTAGTGCGTACGTCTGGGTGACCATCTGAAACGCATGCGAATCTTGGGCGAACCAGTGCGTGATCGGAGTCCAGACAAGTTGACCAGTACGATCGGCAGTCTGTTACGCTTTCGTGCCATCTGTAGCTTATTACTATGTGGTCAAGCTGGGGCTACTCCTGCGTTTGAGAAGGCGGACGTCATGTGGCAGTCTGTCTTTTCGAATGCCGAAAACTGGTGCTCGAAAGAAACAAGCGATTATCAGAACAAAGAGTCAGTAGCCTGCCTTCATTGTCTGATCGACTGTCAAAACTACCCCCAAGATGGTGCTCGCTTGGTGACAGGCATCCCACTCGTGCGTTGAAATCTCCAGCAAGCATGACAATGTCAGACTGTTTTAAGGAACCCAGAAGGTCATGTAGCTCTCGGTAAAGGTAATCCTTGACTGCATATGGGCTGAAGTCTGTAGGAGCGTAGGCAGAGATGACAAACAAGGCACGCGTAACATCTTGATGCTTACTTAACTTAGGTGAACCTCTTAGTCTGACTTCACATAGCCGACTGTCCACTGGGATGCAGTCAAGCAATGCAGCTTCAGCCCTGTCACTCAGTGCAACCCCAAAATCACCTTGGCCGGAAGCGGCGGTCTCTAGGTCTCCGGAAAGGCGCAAGTGGTATTTGACGTAAGGGTTTGTCGGAGAGGTGGCTGCAATGACGTTACTTGCGTCTTGCAACCTGGTTTTCGAAAGGCAACAGATGTGCTCCGAGAGTGTCTCAAGGGTGCGGTCCAGGCGTGTTTATCGTCCGATCTGCATCAGAGTGCGCACATTGAACGCTGCAAGGCCCCTAATGGAGAACCAGCTCGATAGAAGCTTGGGCTTCGGTAGAGTGTAAGAATGCTATGATCACCGGACAACGAACACCAAAGGTTTGTCTCCGAACTCTATCAGATGCGACCAGTGAGCTGTGATTGACGGTGACCGGGGGAAGACATAGCTGTAGTTAAGGAACAGAACGTGGGACGGGCGGTGGGCGGACTTTGGGCAGCGGAGACAGTGTAGCCAGTAGACATAACAAGTGGGAATGCAGGATAGTATAATCCACTCATGATTCATCATTGAGTGTGCTACTGAAGGTTGCCCAGGCCGAAGTAGAGGGTTGTCTTAAAGGGCCCCACCCCGAGTATTTGATCCAGGATCCAACCTATAAGGTTGCAGGGCGATATAAAGGTATCGCAACCCGTTGGGAGCCGGTGACCAAACAAGTGGTTCACACCTCTTTAGGACCGCAAAGGACCAGGGGCCCAACACATTCTTGAATTACAATGCCGCTTAGGTCTAATGAGCGTACTTTGTCTATCTCTTGGACAACCGTTCACAGATTAAAGTGCAATGTTAACGGCAAAATATTCAAAGTGGTCGAAGGCCACTTTAGGCTCCCGTGACAAATTCGACTATATTACTGGTAAGTAGCAGGATTTTAGTTGTAATTTTGTTAGGCTTTTCATCCCAGTAGTTCACAAGCTACACAGCAGAGGCTAGTCCGAAAAGCACCAGACGCGTTTCGCCCTATTGGGGTTCGTCAGTGGTGCGCATTCCCTCGGTCCTCTAAGGAGGATCAAACCCATGACTGCTAGAGGCAGATGCCAACTAGCCAGCAGCTTAAACCACTGAGCCATGGGGGACGTTGACTGGGCTACAGCAAATGCAAACTAACTAGGATATAGCACCACCTATCTTCCACTGTCACTGACAGTGGTTAGTCTGCGAGATGATGTCGTCCTCTCACTAGACGCTATATCCAAAGCAGATAGTGCAAAAGTGCAAAGTCTTGTTGCAAGACTGGTCCGATACACCACCCTTTCACCGAGCAGCCACCGGAAGTGATGGATTGGTTCACTTGGTAGCTGTCACCTCTTTTGGCCACATCACTGAGGAGGTTACTTCGTGTATCAACAATGCACGTGTGGTTTTCAAGTGGCTGAATCACCTATGGAAGCAGCGGGATATCAGCCTGTCAGTTAAAAGTGTTTGGTGCATAACTCTGCAATAATTCCAGTTTCACTGTGCTAATCAAGCACCCGGCGAGTTTGCGGCGGAGACACCAAACACTTGACCGTGTTTGGCCACTGACTCTTTCTGATTATTGCTCTCGTCTAATAGGAACTCCGGGTGCGCAATGCTGAAGTCCAGCATATGGTTAATAGCAAAAAGCCTTCTGGTGCGTCACTCGGATTTTTGCCGAATCTTAATCGCTTAGGTTGGCTAGGCCATTTCTTCCGTATGCCTATTAACTAGGTTCCTCGATGTGCGGCGTACGCCGTGGCTGCACCAAGTTGTGCGAAACCGCGAGGTGGCCATTCGATGATGTGGCATAGATGCATGAAGAAATTCACTGTGAGACTTGATGAGGTTGATGCGTGTTGTTTTCGTGGATGGAGACCTCTGGGTGGTGCACACCAATAGTTGGAAACCGTATCCGACGTGGCGCAGTCACGCAATCAGTGGCGTTCCTGCGTTCGGTTTCTTGCATCTCGTTGTTAGTTTTCATTCTATTCTAATTAGTCTAACGCATTTCCTTGCTTCCGTTTTCTTTACACTGTATTTGCATTCCACCTCACCATCTTGCCTTTGTTATTTATTGTTATTCTTGCGATGTGCGTTGTGACAACCGGATTCACCGCACTTCGGTGCTCGGATTAAATTTCTACAACTGAACTTAACTGAATGACAGACTTTCAAGCGTGTGTGTCAGATAAACTTGCGGAACTCGTCACTCGCAAGAAGTGCACCTTAAGGAGAAATCTTTCCAGTGAGTAGCTGCGTTGAGCTAATCTACCTTCCCGAGAATCTTCACAATGCTACCTGTGTAAAATTCAGATGATACCCCACGCGGCCATATGACAGTGGATAGAATTGCGTCAACAATCTCACTCGTTTCATCTAAAATTCTGTCAGACCGGTGAAATTCAGCTCCTTGTCTGCCCGGATAATCCTGGTGGCGTGCTCCGCCCACTTGAATCAGAGGTGGTATGGTAGCCTTTTGACGATGCGTGGTCGTGGTAGAGGTCCGCAATTCAGAAGGAGGACGGGACTGCGATCGGTATCTATTTGATCGGAAGGCAACATACTATGTATAGACTAATTACACTCCATTCAGCGATTCCGATTCGTTTTTCCTTGATTGGCTGCTGGTGGCGGAAACTTACCATATTCATCGATCGATCCAATTGGCTTACGAGGCGATTCTCGCACACACACACACACACACACACACACACACACAGAGGTGTTACCGCTGGACTGGCGGCGACCGATCAGCTTTCAGGCGGTCAGCCTATTTTCGTTCCACTTGCCCGTTTGATAGGCAGGCAGCATGATTGATGTTGCAACTTACCGCCGCCGGCCCCATGCTTCAACTGTGATGTAGCAGAATAAAGGTCTCCAGCTAAGTGGAACAAAATAGTAAAATTATTTGACCTCGCGTTCATGCCATCATTACAGAATTCATATGCGTCCTGACTATTACATGAGGCCTTTCATTACACTTGCATATTTGTTCCATGGAAATCGGCAGGATGGGCGAGTAGTAGTAGTAGTATCGTATCGTATTATGTCTGCTACCCGAGTCTAACATTCGATCCTGAAGTTGTTTTCATTAGATTGGCCTCGAAACACCGTATGACGACCTAGTAACGGTTTGGACCGCCTTTCAGATGTGATCACTTCACGTTTGGGGGGCAGGCAAGTGTGTTGAGGTTACAACTGCCAGATTTAGGTTCGGCAACATCACTTGTCACGACGCTCGATTCCGCGACTCCAGCGAAGCCAAGCATCCTCCAAGTGGAACTACTGATGGCACCCGCGAACCACAATTTAAAAGCTTCATGGAGGATGATGCGAGAACAATATTCGATGGAGGACCACAAGGATTAGTTGCACCAAGCTGTACCTGTTTACTCAGTAACGGATTTAATTAATCGCTATGCTCGGTCTAACGATCAGGGCTACGAAGCTTCGCTTCCAGTTTCAAATCCCTCAAAGTTGACTCCTGAAACTTGGTCTTGTTCCCAACATTCTGAGTTTTGACCTCATCACTAATATCAGTAACATCTACAAACTTATCAGCACACATTTTCTGTAGACAATTGAACTAGTCAACTTATGTTACGATGGAACTACGCTAGATCCAATTACGTAGCACGATACGTATACGTATACGACTCACCGAAAGGCCAATGCAGAGATGCAAAGTCCCTATATTCTGTAATGTGAAGCTTTCACTACTACCGTCTGTACAGTCTACCTCGGGAACTGCGAGGGTGTAGAATAACGCTAGATTTGTCTTGACCTTAAAACCTACACTAACGCCAGACTTGCGAACGCAGTAACGACTCGTATCTGAATCCAGGTTTAATCTTGTGGATTACGTCTGAGGGGGATTGTGCAGGTGATGAAGTAATTGTTGAGCCACACTTTCGCTTTACCTGGCCAGTATGAATGCAGCTACCTAATTAAGGTTGCTTTCGTCTTCCGAGAGTACTCGTGCTCTGACCTTGTTGTCGCGAGTGCCATTCAACAGACATTGGATGACCATGGTCATTACGAATTTCGTGGGCCTTATTAGATTCTAACGATAATCAGGCAGGAACTGTTGTATGATGATTGTGATCTTCATCTCCTGTACTTTAAAAAAATTCAGTCGTTTGAAGACAGCCTGATAGGGAAGTGTTTTTCTACAGGTGTAGTGTATCAAAATACTTCTAAGCCCATGTGTTGTCTCAGAAATCTAACAGAACGATGCTCAGCAATATGGATGTGAGGATCTGTAACACTGAGTAGTTCAAGATAGTCACCTAATGCCTGCTTCCATCGAGCCCAAAGTGCAAGTGATGGCTTAGAGGCAGTTTTTCGCAAAACGGATCAGATAGAGTAAAGTGGCTCATGTGGAAAATCCAAGGTATAGACTCCGATGCCTATTGTAAAGTCTGTGCGTGCGGAACTAGCGCAAGGCTTGGGTACAAAGTTAATTTCTCGTAGTCGAAACAACGCAAAAGCAACTAAGATCAGTTACTCAATAAGTAGTCGAACGATAAACAAACGTAAACGCGCTACGTATAAACGGCTTGTGCTGGGTGTGTAAACACTCGGTTGGCGCTAGTACAGAAAACCTCCGAATTTCATTACCTCTCTATGTTAACCGGTTTTTCCTCCATTGTCAGAACCTTCACCATATAAAGCTTATGGATCCAGACCTCTGTATGTTGACCACTGTCCAGTCCCTTGGGTGGTCAACTTACAGAGGTTTTATTGTAATTCGTAGGTCTCACTAGCGCTCTTGCATGGTAACTGTTTAACCCTATCCCATTTCACAAAGCAACTGACAGTAGAACTTTGTGGTGTTGCTACGTTCCATCTTCGTACCTGAGACTTCGATTGATACGTTTTTCAGCACAGCGCGTTGTAACATCATTGTCACCCTTGCGTTCAGTTTCTTGCTTCCAACTGTGTGTCCATCCGCTCTACGCTAGTAATATTTGTCTCATTTGTTCTTCCATTTAGTTTACTTCTCCTGCTGCTGCTGCTCTAGTCAAATTATCCGTATCTGCCTCCCGGATTATGCGTGTTTGCTTGAAATAAACAGAATGCGCAACGTAAACTGTTCGCAGTGGTGAAAATTTTTATTAATCCTTTATCTGCCACGTTTTTCGAACCGTTTTTGTCTTCCCTTATGACAGACCTCAATGAAACTGATTCGGATGATGATTCGTCGGATACCAGTTCATCTGGTAAGCGCCATGGGTCCCAACTGGCCGATTTGGACAGGCATCGCATCAAACATCGGGAGTTGTTTTTATCTAGACAGGTTGAATGTCTTCCCGCTACTCACATACGTGGTGAGTGCCATAACCAGGGTACTTCTTTTCATTATTTTCCTACTACTCTTTTCGATCATTTCACGCCATCAATACATTCCATTTTACCCTTTAGGAAAATGTTCCGTTACATTGTATAACGATGCGGAACCGTTAAGTAATTACCTGGCACGCGAGGATGCGTTTTACTATAAGCTCATATATGATCCCTCTCAACGAACACTTCAAGAGGACCGCGGTTCTATGCGAATTGGGCCGGATCACCAGTCCGAGATACAACCGTTGCTAGCACCATGTGAGTCTACTACGTGTTGCTTTTGATCATTTCATGCTTTTCCGAATTGAGCTGCTCTTTTGTGTTGTACCTTATGGAAACTGGTGAGCTATTCCATTGCGCAATCAAATATTTCCAGTTCATGGCGAATCCGGTGACTCGTAAAATGTAATCGATGTATAAGATTTTCTTGCTTTAGATTCTTACCTAAGCTTATCGACATAACTTAATGATACATTTTCCTTGTAGGTTTTCGTTGGCAGTATCATCTTGGGGGAAACAATCATGTTTTTACTTACGGCCTAGTTTGGTCGAGTTATTTCGAATTTTTATCACAGTCGCATCTAACTGTTCTAGTCTACCATTTTACAACTGTTGGGTAGACAGACTAATGGTATATTTCTCGACACTGTAAGTCCAGCTAGCTAGTCTTATCTTTTTATTCGGCAAAGTTGCATAAACGGTAATTGTTCGAGTTGTTCAAAGCGATTCCGATACAAGCTTTCTGGGTGATGGATCAGTCCGCTTACTTGGAGGAGCAAAGTTGATAGCAAGAATAAACATTAGTGGTGCTATAGGCTTAAGTTAAGCAAGACGGCCACTTGTGGAGCCAGCTCCTGAAAACCTACTTCCATGCAAAAAGCTTTAATCCGCACTTCCACGCCCCATCTGACTGTGTGTGCATTTACTCATCCCTAAGGCCGTTGCAATGTGCATGCAGACTGGGCACTCCGTCCATCTAGCCCGTCCCACATTTGAAATCTTTCGAGCCAGGCATTTTTGTTACTCGCCAGTGAGTCTGTGGCAGTTCTCTTTGTCTGTATGTACTGGATAGCTTGGAAGCTACAATCCGCCACCTCATAAGATTGGCTCAGTTATGGCCAACTTTCAAAGGTAAAAAATATCGAAATAAAATGAAATATTAGTGCTTATCATCAAATGGCATACTTATCGTACGAGAAACAATCCGACGGTTTATCTGATTCAATTCATACAGAGTGATCACAGCAAAAGGTTACCGTTCGAAGTACTTACAAACAAATCGACTCTCAAAGGAATTTCGAGATTTATTAATCGGCTGCGTTAACAAAAAGCAGAGCTGAAAACTACTACATATGTCCCAGTTCTCACGTTTTGAAAAGTAAAAGAAGTCGTAATACCTATGTTCTTCTGAACTGCGGGATGTTGTTTTTGCAATAGGAATAGATCAATATAAACATAAATGATCATGCTCTTGTTTGAGTGTATACGGACGCCGTTTTGGGTTTCCATTATAGAATATTTTATCAGCTACTCGCTCGAACTAGAAATGAATAGTATGGCTTCCAGCTCAGAGAAACTAAAGCTTTAGTGTGAAATGATTTAGGGTTTTCACATGCCTTGCTTCTGCTTGATAGGTTGTTCCACGAAACGGCATGCCTCATCTGGAAATAATTAGAGCGCATGGTTGTTCTAGCCCTTCGCATGAGTAGCGTACAATTTTTGTCACATCTCTGAAGGATGTATTGCCCCTGTAATCGATTTTCACAGACCTGGTCGCGTTAGCTTAGCCGGAAGTTACACCTGACCTGGGCACGATCTTTATTCACGCACGTATTCCGGTGACGCACTGCGTCTTCGAAAACAGACAATGATGCGCACACTACCGTGGATTAGACGCGATTGGTTGCATTTATAGTGCAATTAAATTGCTCCCTGTGGATCTGATTTGCATCCGTAAGCCAATTGAACATAGTCCTCAATGCAATTTAATGGCATCCAGTATCTTTCCGACGCATCATGCGCGCACAGTGATCTTGGCATTGAGCCAGCCCAAATCAGCCAAGGACAGCAAACGTAATAACACTTGCATGGATAGTATGAGTTGATGGTGTGCGGTGAGGACGCGCGGGTGTTCTAAAATCCATTCACGGACCAGTGTCTTCCCTGAAACTAGGGGGCACAAGGTTGTTCAAACACATGGTGTGCTAGGTGGAGGGCTGAGTGGACTCCCATGTGCGCAAAGACATGCGTTGCGCACGGCACCGGTGGGGAGGGAGCTGTGAACACGACAATGCGACACCCCAGTAGCGATCTTATGTCTAGTTTTGCATTGTGTTTGAGCCCACAACAGTTAGGACGACCTACGATATTTGGGCATACGACTGCATTGTGTCCGGATGTCAAGACAGTCACTGATGCATGGATGCGAATGATCGGGGTCTTTGGCACCAAAATGATATGACGTGATTGCGAGTAAAACGACAAAATGGGCCTGCGCAACTTGCCCCTGAAATACGTGTTAACAAGTGGCCGCTTTGGGTAAGAGAGGAATGTCTTGAGGGGTACGCTGCTGAGAGAGCTAATGCCGAAATATGATTGTGGCGTCTTTTTACGAGCCGTGTAGGCAGTGGAATATCTGTTCACCCTAAGCCGAAAGCAGTATCCATACCATGGAACCCAAAGTAGAGATGAGGCATTGGAGATATAAATGGTATCTCTGGGTGGCTAATGTGTAGACGATCGCGATGACGTATACTGTAGTGTTTGAGTGGTTCTTGTTTTCTCGAACGCTGCACTACTAGCAGTTGGCGGACGACTCGACGCACCGCCTACATTGGCACATCTTAGGCGCTGAAGCGAACGTGGTCGACTGCATAGCCCTCTGATAGGCTTGACAATAAGCGACAAACAGCAATTTCGCATTCTGGCATAAGTTAGGGCTTTACATCAGGGGCGTTGTCCTAGCATATCTCTCAGTAATTGTCCTCACGCAGCGATATGTGACCGAAGGCGTTATTTAATTTAGAGCTATCCGCAGTGGTGCTTATTCATTACCATTCATTATACACGTTAGTTGTAGGTGGAACATACCTCAGCTATGGTGCCGCGCTACAAAAGAAAAGAAAAGAAATGCAGGAGAGGCACGCCAGCTGAGTCCCCAGTAACGGATGAACATCGTTCCGGAGCATAAACAGCCGACTTTTGTGTCCAAAAAGTCATATAATACTTATTAATTGAGATCGTGGGTGGAGCAGGAGGGGGATGGACGAAAGAACTCACAACACAAACGCCACTGAGGTCTGCTCTTAGCCATGTCAATAAGTGTATCCAACCGAATGTGTTTTTCGTTCTTAGGACCCCACCTAAAGAGCCGAAAGGCTCCATCCGTGGCCAACTTCGCAGTAAGGGTCTTTATTACTCTTGTCCAATTCATCGCTCGGCCACCTCTTCTCTTCTTCCATCCGCACCCCCTGCGCACAAACAACCCACGTCGCGGGAGTCGGTGGCCTGGCATACGCAACACGTGGCCCAGTCATCGGAGCCTAGTGCATGAAATAATGGTGATGGGCGGTTCGCTTCTCTTCCTGCACCATATACAGGGCGTCGAATACGCTCATTGCTCGCACGGTGTTTCCACCAGGTATAAGCAAGCACTGGTGCTTAACCTAATGATCAATAGAATGCCCCCTCCTTTTCTGCGCACGGTAGTCCTCTTCGCAGTGCCAACTACTTGCCATTCCAATAATGAGAACTCGATAATGACCATGTTTCCATCCGGTAAATCACCACACGAGTTCTTCCAGGATGGGTCAAGGAATATATAACCAATGAGAAAATATGGTACACAAAACTCATTAGCAACTAAAGTTATTTGGTTCCAAATTATTTTGATATCATACACCTCACTATACATATCTCACTCATGCATGAGCGTGATCATCATCGTACCCGTGACCTGTCCACAATTCAGGGACAGCTTGTCGCACAATCGAGGAATATGCGTATTATTATTATTAGCCACGTACCCAACAGCACATGAGCTCACACCATTAGAAAAACTGTAGTCCTGGTTGCCGGGAATTATCCGGTTACCCTCTGGTTGTCGCAACTTCTAACACTGAAACATGCGAGGACTCTCTGCGAAGCACTTAGCCTGAATACTATCCTTTATACCTGAATGGCTTCGCGTAGCATAGCAGTGGCAACACCAGTTCAAATTATCTACCTTTATGTCAACAAAATAGGAGCAATTTACAAATCAGTACAGTGCATTTCGCGAGCGTAATTCCTTCTCACATGATTTATCATGTATTGGCAGTGCTGAGACGTCACGCACGCTCGTGCCTCCGACACAATTCGTTCCAGGAAACGCATTCTCCACTCGATCTTGCAAAGTACACCCTCAGGATCTTTCTGAAGCATCTCGGGATATCTCTGCCTTATAGCTTGCTTCACATGCTTTTATGATGCTCCGAATGCCCTCAGTTAGGTTCAGTGATGGAGAATATGGCGCATGGCGCAGGATGCTACCCAAACAGTACTATTGCTGCTTACATACGCGTTCCAGATTCGTGTGGCATGGCGCGTTACCGCAGATCAGGAGACAGTTTTCGACAAAAGTCGAACGCCTGGCATCCAGCAGTCCACGCAACCACTGCGCACCCCTTTCCTTTTTGGAACATCCT